ACGAAGCAGACCAGGCCCGTGTGGTCCCCCAACTTCTTTTTAAAAGTTGAACCCGACCTCAGGTCTCCAGCGAGTTAGCGCGCTCTCCTGTCTCGCTCTGCGGGGTGGCCCGCTTGGGTCAGCCTTGCTCTGCTCATCAGTTCTCCCGCACTCCCTCTGTGCTCCGACCCATGGCCGGCAGCTGGTGGGGCTGGAGGAGAAAGCGTGGGCATGCCGAGTGTCACAATAGGGCAGGCTTTGTCGGGGCCACGGTGCGTCTCTCCTGACCTCGGACCCGAGTGACTGGGGACGCAGAGGGGAGGCGGTTTCCTTCCCTCTCTGGGCTGCAGGTTTTTAATGTCTTCTTTGTTGGCTTGGGCCCCTGGAGACCGAACTGAAGGGACAGACTTTGGGCTGCTCCCCCCTCCCGGACAAAATGGTGCATGCTTTTCCTGTTTAAACAGGGCGCAGTTGTGAAGTGCCCTGACTCCGCACACACCAAGGCCCGGCAACGGCTGCAATAAATCAATAGGGAAATAGAAGCTGCCAGTTAGACTAAACAAGTGCATTTGCAAAGACGGCGAGCCCTCATTAATCACTCTGACAGTCCTAAAAACACATTTCCCCTTTAATGACTGTATTTGGATAATCAGTGCTTTTTCCTCCTCAGTCAGAGTTTGAGTAACAGACAGCTGGTGTTATTACAGCCATCGGGGAGGGAGTGCTGGGATTCGGGCCGACTGAGAGCCAGCCACTGGAGGTCTCTGCAAACCGGGGCTGGCCGTTGTTATGCAGTAACGAGGGGGCTTTGTGCTGCCGCTGATGGCTCCTGGGCAGCCATGTGCGAGTTCCTCCCAAACCTCGACACCCACCTGCATTATGTGAGCACAAAAGCCTCACGTCGGGTTTTATGAGCGTTGGCAGACTGAACCCAGGTCGTGGAGGCAGGCGCTTGGCTGGCCGGGTGCTGAGAAGATGGGCCGGTGTGATCTGGCTTGTTTCCTTTAGGTGACTTTGGCTTTCAGGAGGAAGTTGGAAAGCCAGCACATCCCTCTTTATAAATGATTTAACCCATTAACGCACAGCACATTATGAAAATGCTAATCCAGGCCCATAGTGCTCCAGATTAAACCATACGTTATCTGATGCACTCAGCCATCTATTTTGCAGAGAGACAGGATGAAGGGAATCAGATCAAACAGAAGAACGGCGTGCAGCATCCCTCCAGAACGATGAATAAAGTGCGGAGACACCGGATTATTGGAAGGCAGAGCCCACCGTGCCCTGACCTCCACCAGGAGGGCCGCTGTCACAGCACGCCGGCAGGGCGAACCGACTGGCCGCACACGGTGACCAGGGGCCCGAGGCTCCTGCATGGCTCCAGCCTTGCCCGGAGATGGGTTTGCCGGAGTGGGGAGGTTCAAGCTTAACACCGCACAACTCTGAGTCAAACCCGTGTCGGAGGGTCGGAGGGCGAGCTGTTCCCTTCCTCCTCCCTCCCTCACCGCTGCCCACAAGGCTGAGAAAATAACCCGGGAGAGGTGTGAAAAGAGGACCCGCCGCCAGGAACGTCCAGTGTCTCAGCTTCCAGCCTTCCTGGTGCCTTGGGAACACAGGCCCGTTTCTGGCGCCTGGGAGAGCTTAGGAAAGAGGCAGGAGGGTGAGCAAGAGGAGGAGGTGGGGGAGCCGAAGGATGGAGGTGACTCTCAAGAAGAAGTTGCTGGACGGACTAATTATGCAAATGAGCAGCTGGGGGGACGGGACTCTGGAAATGGCAACGTTGTTTAGTGGGAGTTTAGCCATTGAAAGTAACACGCTCCCTTCCAGCTAATTAAGACAGCCCGTTTTCTCAGGAATGTCACCAGTGGCCTGGCGCAGAGCTGTCCTTTCAGGGTAAGGACTGGGACTCTGCAGGCTGCCATCATGCCTGGGGTGGTCAGGACAGCTCACTCCAACCACAGCCAACAGCGCACCCCAAGGTCTCCAACTACGACGCAGTTCACGGGGGCACTCAGCGGTCTCGGGAGCTTTCGGACCGCATTCTCACACCTCGTACCCAGGGAGCACAAGAGGGTCCTTCGCTGCACGCAGCAATCGGGGTGCTGCTAAGTCTTCTTTCCTCCCTTCCCAGCAAGGACAGCCCCTCTGCCCTTAAGTGTGGACGTCTGGAGACCGCAGAGTAAGAGCGGAAGAAAGAGAGAGGGCTCTGGAGGAAGGGAACTGGGAAGGAAATAAACTGCCGACAGAACAGAAAATGCACGCAGCGACCTTACAGTCCAGGTCTTGAACCGATTCAGCCCCTTTTAGCCCCAAGGAGGAATCGGATGATGCTGATTCCCCAGGAAAACGGCGAGCTGGCCTCAGGACGACTGTCCCCACTGCTGGCCTCCTCTGACTCAGTACCCTTGGGGCCTGTGGTGCCAGCAGTCCAAGCTCCTCCTAGGGAACACGCAGGGTCTCAACAGTGCCTGGACTTGGTGTTGCCAAAGACCCCTGAGGCTCCCCAGTGATGGGGTTTTGCCAGAGACAGAGATTTGGGCAAAGACGCACATGAACAATGCCGGGGTTCCGTGGAGTCCTCGGGGAGGGCCTGGTGTGGCCCCCTTGCCAGCCTGTCCAGAGTCCTCAGGAGAAAGCGTCCCCACCTTCTGCAGCAGGCCCATAGGCGTGTGAAAGGACGCAGCTGGGGCTGGCCTAAGCTTCCAGGTAAGTTGTCCTCCCCACAGCAAGGCAAGGCAGGACAACACGGCAGAGCAACCCCAGAGCAGCGGCCAAGGGGGCAGAAGGCTGAGGGTCTTGGGGCCGTAGGCGGGGAGCCTGCGTGCCTGGCATGGTGGGCAGGAGCCTGCTGCAGGGGGGCGGTGGACCTGCCGGGGCCCCACTCACCGCTGGAGGGTGGAGGAACGAGTCAGCACTGGACAGGCCTGGGCTCCCCAGTGAGCATGGCCTCCCCAAGCCGCCCTTCCTGTCCTCTGGGACACTTGGATACTCCCCACGGACCTCTCTCCTGAGCAGGGCAGTTAGGTGCCCTGGCCGACACCCAACAGCCGGCACCCCACCTTCTGCCCGAGGATACAGAACCCAGCATCAGTGGAGCGAGTTCAAGAAAACGGCGAGCCAAGCCAAGGAGCCTGACTGCTCCGACCTGGCCTTCAAGGCAAGCACCTCGCCTTCCCAGCAAAACCCAAACTCCGCCAGAGCAGCTTCCTGTGCAGACACCCAGGCGCTGACCGAGGGGAGCCCTACGCTTCGAGAAGGAACCCCTTCCGCAGGTGCATTTACTCACTGGTCTGGAAAAAGAGAACCCCACAAAAAACGGCAAGCAGAAAAATCCACACTTGGAGGTCGAGATCGACGAGGGGGCGATGCCGTCGGGGCTGGCACGGGAGGCTTCTCTCCGCCTGCCGCTCGCTTTTTGGACACCAGGTGGCGCCAGAGGCACGCGGTCTGGGCCCGCCGCGCGCCGGGACCCGGGGGCTGCGAGACTGTGTGCCAGGGTCCTGGTTCCAGGTTAAACCCCGTGTGCCGCCCGTCTAGGCCCAGAGGAAAATCCACTTCTACACACACACACCCTCCACCCTGGCCCCAGGAAACGCCAAGGCCTTTGAAGTGAGCCTGGGAGTTAAATACCCAAGTGGAAAAAAAGGTGGTTTCATGTTATTCGTAATGCCTTGGCAGACGTTCTGTTTTTCCTCCCCCCCTTCTTGAGGAAAGTCATTAAACTTGTCCTTGAACGGAAATTTCAGAAGGAAATCGACCCCAAGGTATTTTAAGCAAGAATAAAAGAAGGGCATCTGCTTAGGTGTCTGGAAGCGGGACAGTGGGTGAGGCAAGACAGAAACACCACGGTGTGAATATAGCCAAGTATTCCATTTATTAACAAAATAAGTCTTACCAAGGGAGCTCTATTCATCCCAAACAGGCCCCAGGGCCCCCGCTGCTGCAGGGGACCGAGGGCGGGGTGTGGGAGGAAGGCCCAGGGCCAAGCCTTCTACCCCAGTCACTGCAGGCCCCACAACTTCGGGGGCTCTGCGGGGTCCAGCCTGGGAGAGGGCAGGGCCTGGCCGCCTGACTCAGCCTCCCCTCTACGGAGCTGACCGAGGTGCCCCAGGGGACAGACGCTGCGACTGGTCTGCTTTGGAGGGGTCTAGCGAGAAGAGAATCGCCAGCCCCGCCCCTGCCGCCAGGGGTGGAGTCACTGCCCAATTAGGGAGAGAAAAACAATGACTATAAAGCACTTAGCAAAGTACGAGCAAAGGCGCATGCCTGCCAGGCCTCCGGGACTTGACTGGGTCCCTACAGGTCCCCGGCGGGCAGTGCGGCTGGCCACCAGGTGTTAGGGGCCAAGGGAGTCTGAAAGGTAAAAGTGGATGGGAAAGCTCTGCCCGAGGGGGGCCTGGTGGAGTCAGGGCTCCCCAGCTCAGCAAGGGAGCAGGGCCCAGACCAAGGCCCATCGGTGCTGGGAAGAATCCGAGCAGTTCCGGTTAGCAGAGCTCAAGACCTGCCACCGAAGCATCCTTCACCCCCAAATTGCTACCAAAAAATCTGTTATTTGTACCTGGGAAAAAACAGAACCTTGAATGGAAGGAAACGAGAGGGAATGAAGGATAAAGAGGGACGAGGAGAGGGGAAATGTAGTTTGAACAAGACTCATGCAACAGACTCCCGGAGAGGGAAAACACACCGAGCCCAGAACCCCAACTCCCTCCTGTCCCTGAAACCAAGACAAAACCAAAACAAAGGTAAAAAATGAAAACTTACACCTAAGAAAAAAAAGGAAAAAATAGTAAGGGAAGAGGGTGGGGCCATGTAGTTACTTGCGTGATTAATATTATTATTCGGGGAGCACAGGCCGGCATACCATTGGCTCGTGTGGCCGTTAATGCACTTATATTCCCAGCGTGTAAGCTAACACTATAGTCAATAAATACACAGTCCGGTGGGGAGGGTCTGGGCGGGAATCCCGGCAGGGACAAGCAGTAGTGGCGGCGGCGGCGGGGACGCAGGCGGCGGCGCGGTGGCTACTGGTATCCGAGCGCGGAGGCTGAGGCTAGCCTCTGTCCGTACAGCGCGTAGGGTGAGTAGTAGGGTCCGGCTGCGGGGAGCGAGGGCACGGCCAGGCCCCCCGCTGTGGATAAGTGGCTCTTGCCGTAGGGGTGGTACCGGCTTAACCCCAAAGTGTGTGGACTCCGCAAGGACAGCGACCCCGGGCTGCCAGGGGCGGCGGGCGGGGGCAGGTGCAGGTGGCAGGAGGCGGCGGCGGCAGCGGCGGCGGCACGCAGGTGGCTGAGCAGCTCCTCTGAGGTGGCGAAGCGCTTGTCGCACGGCCCGCTGGCGGCCACCCAGTTGCAGCTGTGTGGCAGCGGCTCGTTCTGCAGCACGAAGCCGTAGGTGTACAGCGGGTGGCCGGGGAGCGCGGC